GTCTTCGCTTATTTACGAGATTCGGGACGCTCGAGAGGATTGACGGGCGGTCTTTCCTGAAAGAGCAGAAGACCCGAGAGATGACACAAGTCCAAAGTGAGCTGAAAGAACACGGATTAAAAACTGCCATGTGTGCGTGTCGGCCACCCGATTGTTTTTATTTTTGCAATACGCAGTGGTATAATTCCAGTAAAATGCGATTTTTACGACTAACGCTGCATTCAACGGCATATCCGATGAAGGAGTTTTAGTGTGATATGGCGATTAGTACTTTAAGTAAGGCGCAGATTTTACTGCCAAGAAAGATTGTTTTCCTAGTATTCCTATTCGCCACAACTCGAAGTAAATGCTGAAGCTTTACTAACCGTCACATTTGACGCAGGGGATTTAATCTTCATCATTGGCAGATTCACGGTGATTCTGCATATCGTGATCATCGTCGTCCTAGTGATCTTCGCCATCGTCTTCAAGGACCATTTCACCGAGTTCGCCGACTTTGTGGGAGCCTCCTGCATCACCATGAACTGTATCTTGCTCCCGACTGTCTTCTACCTCGTCAAGGCGTGGGATCGCATTGCCATTTACGAGAAGGTGGCGGCTGGCATTGTTCTTGTGGCATGCTCTTTCCTGGGTTGCTACGTCACGTACACGGCTGGTAAGGCACTGTTTTCCCCCACGGAAAACGACGCCCAGTTTCCGTACTGTCACGCCGATTTCGAGAACACCATCAACTACAACTACAGTTTGGTCTATCATGGAAATAACCCGAGTAGCACGTGTATGACACGTTCCTTAACCTTACAGTAAGGTAACATGCCAGCTATTAAATACGTGCACTCGACCAGTTTTGTGCCACTGGTTTTATCCAATCAGAACTTCAGATAGTTCTTTTTAGCCAGTAGTAGTATCCAGAACATTACGCCGGCAGTTTTTTTTACTTTCCGTAATTTACCAGTACGAACAATCCGGGAACCTTCTTTGGGGCCAGGTGCTATTTTGACGACAACTCCTTTTGGATCTAAGGGTTGTTTCAAAACCGTTCGACCACGTTAGCTAGGGCTGTTAAGGGATAATCACTTTCCAACAATACAAAAGAATTGCTGTACTGATGGCATTCAATGTTTCCCATAAAGAAATTAACGCTGCTGGTTTTTGAGCCTCACAGCAAACCGAACGGCGATATTGTGGCGTAGTCAAGTTCTTTTATTTTACAGGAAGGTGGATATACAGTACTGGTAATCAAGCCGAAGACAGTATTGTGGTTCATAGAATCTTGTACTACTACGCTAAAATAAACGTTCTTCTGAGCAAAGAAGGATACCTCGCGACGATTGGTTCGTTGAGAAAATAAGTCTGCCACCTTTTGTGTCGTTCGAGACTACCTACACAGAAAGGTGTGTTCATCAACATTACCTCTATTTCAACCGTACATTGCCACTCTCGAGGAACGCCTTGTACCCGTTTGTGATGTATGTGATCTCGTCCGAATCTCTGTCAAGCTTCTTCATGGCACGCTCAACTTTGCCAATCGAATACTCCTGTGTCTTCCAAACGGCAAGTGTTTCTAAATACTTGCTGTTGTCAGGGAGCATCTTGTCGTATATGTCCGAGTTTCGCAGATACTTCTTGGAAGCGGCCTTGCTGACGCTGGACGAAAACATGTCCAACAGACCCCTGTCTTC